AAAGTTATGTTTTTTTTAACTTTTTAAATATTATACTTAATTTATTAGTTTTAGTATATTGTCGAATGTAAACCATTATTATTTTAAAGCTACAACTTTTGAACAATGGTTAAAAATAACTCTATATAAATGATTATATTGTTACCTTTAAAATAAAAAAACAATGTCTGATGTTTTAAATAATTATAATGATAGAAATTAAAACGTTAAGAAAATAAATTTTAAAAAATTAATTAACAATAACAAAAACTATAAATAACATGAAGTCATATATTATATTTAATTTTATTCATGAGTAACTCGCGGGTAGAAGTCATTCAAATGGTTGAGATTATACAGTTATAATAAGTTATAATAGATGTATATATTATCATATAATTCAAAATAATCAATATATTATATCAATTTAGTATACGGATTATTATATCAAATTTAATAACAACATTATTGTTATATTTAAAAAAACATATATTTGTAAAGATTTCAACTATATAGGTGTTTCAGCGCAACGCGCGAACATTCATCTAGTATATATATATATATATATATATATATATATATATATATATATATATATATATAAAGATGATGTGACAATCCGTTAAACTCTATGAAGTTCAATACATTATGGATATGCTAAGATATTGATCGTAATTAACGCGCTACGTCTAAAATAATAAGTCCATCTTGTAACCTACACATGGGCTAACCCAAAACTTAGAAAAAGGGGGAGGTGCCCCCAATGATATGAAACTTTATATATTAATTATATGATAAGAAATGATTAAAAGAAAAAAGAACAAGTAGGCCCCTAAATAAACAATTAGACTAAGGCTTATGGGTACGAGCAACGAGGGCTTGCGTTATTGTGACATGACATCAAAAAAACGTCAGCATAACGCTGGAGCACCGCCCCTTGGGCGTTTTTAGCCATTATGGCATGAGGCGTTTTCGTGGCAACGGGTGCTATTTGGCTTGCAAATGTTCAAACGGTAAAAAATGAGACCGTTCATCAACGGTTAAAATGTAACTTTTGTTTTTTTTTCAATTTTACTCAAATATAAATACGTATATTCATTCTGTTTTTTACCTACACAAAGACCTTTATTTCTCTCATCTTATTCATTTCATTTTTACACACAACTTAACCAAATTCATATTCAACCAACAATGGATCAAAAACCGAACACTCCTCCTCCAAACACAAACACATCCGCTCCACTTGGTTTTGCGTAATATGAGGGCTACGTGAACCTCCTCAACTCGCAAAGCTCACCACAATTTCCTACATCTCCTTATATGCAACAAAATACAAACCTTCCACAAAACCTTCTCAACGTCTTTGCTTCCATGCCACATATAACCACACAACCACTACCCACGCGAGAAACGGTTGTCGAGACGCAAGCGGGGGGTAGTTGGAAACCAACGGAAAAAAAGGAGAGCAAAAAAGAAAGGGAAAGAGGTCGCGATTGCGGTGGAGCAAACGGAAGAACCTCCAACATGGTGGACACCAGAGGAAGAGCATGAGTTAGTGGTGCGGGACAACAAAAAACCCAACTTCGGGAAACGATATGAGGATAGTTGCTTTTTGGGAAGTTGTGATTGGAAAATTTCGCACCATTATGAAGAAGGACGACACATACTGCAATCATGATATGCTTATTAGCAAATGGACTCAAATAAGTCGGAAGTGCACCAAGTTCAATTTAATCTACAACAAACTTTCTTCGCACAAGCAAAGTGGTGCGAATGATTTTGATGTTTTTAGAGCCGTGAGAGAGGAATATCACATGGAAATATGGGTCACGTTTTCGAGCACGAAAAACTTTGGGAGATTGTGAGGCAAGATGCAAAATGGATTAAAACGTCGACATCATCGGACCAACAATTAAAGAGGTTTCGTGGTTCGGGTTCAATTGACATCTCCGACGCACGCTCAAGGGGATACGGGCCCCCGCCCACACTCGGCTTACTATGAGATACGGGCCTCGCCCACACTCAACTATCCATGAGATACGAGCCTCGCCCACACTCTGCTAACTAGGAGGTACGGGCCCCACCCACACTCCTCTAACTAGGAGATACGAGCCTCGCCTACACTCCACTATCTAGGAGATACGGGCCTCGCCCACACTCCGCTATCTAGGAGATACGGGCCTCGCCCACACTTCGCTATCTAGACATACATACAAGTATCACACAGACAACAAGTTTAACCAAAATCTACCAATTCATATCCATACTCAAATAATGCTAAGATACGGACTTTGCCCACACTTAGCTGCTAATCATCACACATACTATACACGGGCCGACATTGGTGCCTTTGACCCGTTCAAACCAGGAGGAAACTCACATCGCAAAGCTGAATGCAGAATCTTACTGTAAGGAATCTCTAACGGCTGCTCCGACGACTCCCGAGCTATCATTACCACAATAACACTTAGTCAAAAACTAATAATCCTTCTTAGGGTAAAATGACCATTTTACCCTTGATCTAATTTGGCCCATGCCTAAGGCCCAGAACCATAACATGAAAGGCCTAAATCTAGATAGCCTTCCCAAGCCCACTAGTGGCCCACCAATGGCCCAATTTTCTAAATTGGGCCCAACTCCTCAAATGGGCCTTCTCTTAAGCCCAACATATTCTTAGCCCAAACTAACTGATTTCCGATGGCCCACTATGGCCCAAAATAGCAAAGTCAATGGAAAGGCCCAATCCGAGGCCCAAATGACGGAAACCCTAATCCAGTGAGTACGCGGGGCGTACTCCTCTGTACGCTAAGCGTATAGGCTGCATGGCTTGTACGCTGCGCGTATGGGCTTGTACGCCCAGCGTACTACCCTGTTAAGCCATAAACTCTAAAAATGCTTAATCCCTTAAGACCTTTAGCTCCAAACACAGATCTGAGTCCAATAAAGTGTCTTAACCAATAAAGTCGATTACTTGGTGGCTTGCAAACCCCCAAATGGACCGAAACTTAAAATATAGCAACCTACTTCCATAGAAATGACTAATACTCATGCATGGCCACATTAAGACCTTCAAGATAGTAACTTTTCTGTCTTTGGGACTCAAATATCACTAAGGGTGGCAACCTTAAGCCTAAAAACGAATTTGGAATCATAAAGTTCCATTATTGGGACCAAAAAGGTCCAAAACCCCATTACAAGAGATCTAAGCATTCATGAGGCAAGTTTTGAGTTTTTTTACCTCAAATGAGTGCTAAATGATGATGATATCTCAGATCTTTAAGCTCAAGCTCCACAAGTTCCTCTTCACCAACTTCTTCTTTCTCCTTCCAAGCTCCAAGCCACTAAAATGGCTTCCACGAGATCAAGATCAAACAAAAATGAAGAGGGTTAGGTTTCTGAGTCAAGGAGGCTGGTAAGGAGGCTGGGGTTTGGGACATAAAGATGTATTTATATTGCCTAAACCCTAAAAATTAGGGTTTTGAGTCAGCTCGCGTACGCTGCGCGTACCTCTTGGTACGCTGCGCGTACGTGCTTCAACCCCCCGCATCCAATGTTGCCACTACGCCCCGCGTACGCCCAGTGTACGTCTTTAGTCAGCCCAAACATATAACGACCCACTCAATAAAGGCCCAACTCAATAATCCAACATTAATCTCATAGTCCAATTACAAAGATTAAATAATTAGCATTACCTCAAGTCACGGGTGTTACAACGATGAGCGATAGGGCATGACAAAGCGAAGCGCGCTCAACAACATGCAAATGAAAGTGAAAGTAGGCTTCGAGAGCACGCGAAAATGAAATCGGAATTCGACGCCTACACCACAATCGCAAATAAAAGATAAGAATTGTAACGTGAGCATTTGGAGTTCCTTTGTCAGGAAACCGAGCAAGATCGCATGACAAAGGATTTAACAATTCTTTGCACTAGCGAGGAAAATATGGAACCGAGACAAACGCAAGTGCTCCGAAAGATGAATGAGCAGATCGAGAGAAAATGGTTGGGCTAGAATTTTTGTGTTTTTTTTTAAATTTAGGACTATCATATTTTTTTTTTGTTCAATGTTTTTTTAATGTCATTTTTAGTTTTTAAATGTTATTTTTAATTTAGGATTTAATTACGATACATGTGTTATTAATTTATATGTTTTTTATAAATATTGTGACATAAATAAAAAACAAAACAAAAAAAAAATCGGAAAAATAGAAATTAAAAAAATCAAAAAAATAAAAATAAAAAAGATAGAAAATAAGGGGTGTTATAACATATTATTTGGTGTTGTCTATTTCCACACTTGGTGTTATAACATCATTTATGATTAGGATGGTGACATGACAACTTTTAGGTGTAATAACATGTTGCTCAACCTACCGGCCTAACCTTCACATATTGAATTTAGAGGGCACACATGGAGTTCTTGGTTTTCATTCTTGATGCAGGGATTGGTACATATGAAAGTTTAATTTTTATGTAATAAAAAATTATATTGGCCAGACTCTATCATAATATTAACTGGTAGTATCCTTACAATCAAAATCTGGATCTGAACGTACATATAACATATCATTTTAATACGTTTTGAAAATTCAGTAATTTTTATTTATAAACGATGTAAAACAAGATGTGTCGTCGATATTAATGAATGTAATAAGCATAATGCCAAGAGAAGTCATTGTTGGGCCAACTTGCCGTGTGTCATCCGTTCCAAATTGACTTATTGGAGCATTCATGGCGTTAACCACAAAGCTTATCAACGATATATTCCACACTCAGGTTGTCAATGGACTGTATTTGAAATTAGTTATACTATTAGTCACATTAGATAACGACCTATTAACCAGTTAACATCATGAGATGATTAACAATCCATGTAAATCAGATCGTGTACCGACCCGACCCAATTCTTGATATTGACAATTAACCTCCATACAGACAATAATTCAATTAGTGTAATATACATATTCTATTTAATTCTATATATAGTCATTCAAAAGATGAATTTAATCATTACAACTCAAAGATGGCCATGGAGAACAGTCATGAGCTCGAAAATGGCGATGGAACAACGAAAAGCGACCAGAATTTTCTGGAGAAGGAAGCAGAAGAAGCGGACGATGAAGCTAATAAGGGAAAAGAAGTAGAGTCGGTAGAGATGATATTTAGGGACACGGTGGTGCCATCATGGAAGGGGCAGTTGACAGTGAGGGCTTTCGTGGTGAGCGCGATATTGGGTGTCGTGTTTAGTTTCATAGTAATGAAGTTGAATCTAACGACAGGGATCATCCCGTCTCTAAATGTGGCTGCGGGTTTATTAGGGTTTTTCTTCGTGAAGACATGGACGAAGGTACTTGAGCAGTGCGGGTTGTTGAAGCATCCATTTACCAGGCAGGAGAATACTGTTATCCAAACTTGTGTCGTTGCCACTTCAGGGATTGCGTTTAGTGGTATGTATGTTATTAGTCTGTGGTACTTTTTCAGAAAGTTTTAGCTTCTCGTTTAATCATGAACTAAAATTAACATCTAAAAAACCACATCAACATCTATAGCTAGGCCGGCTGAAACAAAAAAGGAAATATATTTCTAAGTTGGATCTTTATTAATGGATTGTTTTTTAATGATTGACGACGTTGTCGGAATCTGGCAGGTGGTTTTGGGAGTTATCTATTTGGAATGAGTGATACAATCGCGGCACAATCATCCGATGCAAACTCACCAACACGAGATATGAACATCAAGAACCCAAGCTTGAGCTGGATGATCGGTTTTCTCTTCATTGTTAGTTTCATCGGCCTTTGCTCCGTAGTTCCACTACGAAAGGTAGCAAATTAAATCCAAATATTATATTTCGCCTGAGTAAATTGATCAAATCGAGGTTTTATAACATATTTGATGATGGGTTTTAATAACAGATCATGATTATCGACTTCAAGCTCACATACCCAAGTGGGACTGCAACTGCTCACCTCATTAACAGCTTTCACACTCCCCAGGGTGCTAAACTTGCAAAGTACGTATAGAGAATCACCTCTTTCATTTTTCATGCATGCTGAATGTACAAATAGTTCGGGTGGGGCATGAATTGTAATTTGGTCTTGTTATCCCAATGAAAAGCCACGTCCCAACTAAGCATCGTTTTACTGATTATGATTGATGCATTTGATTTGATAACAGGAAACAAGTGACGGCACTAGGGAAGTTCTTCTCATTCAGCTTCTTATGGAGTTTCTTTCAGTGGTTCTTCGTTTCTGAGGATGATTGTGGCTTTGAAAACTTCCCTACTTTTGGCCTCAAAGCTTACCAGAACATGTAGATACTCTTTTAACTTCTTAATTGTTTATACTTATCATTAAATCTAATGATTTTTCGTTTTGTAAAACTTCAGGTTTTACTTTGATTTTTCAACTATGTATGTTGGGGTAGGGATGATATGTCCACACCTTATAAACATCTCCTTGTTGCTTGGAACAATCCTTTCATGGGGGATAATGTGGCCCCTCATCGAGAAGAAAGAAGGCGACTGGTATGAAGCAGGTCTTAAACCCAGTAACTTCCATGGCATCCAAGGTTACAGGGTAGTTATCATAAACCCTAATTCTTCTTCAAAACATGATGTCTATCCATCTTTATTCATCGCTGAATCTTGTAGGTGTTCACTGCCATCGCCCTGATCCTAGGAGATGGACTCTATAACTTCCTGAAAGTACTTGGAAACACTTCGATTGCGTTGTATAAACAACTCCAGAACAAAGAGTCACGCACCGTTCTTCCTGTGGGTCCAGATGGCAAGGCAACCTCAGAAGACTTAGTGACCTCATTCGACGACCAATGTAGAAAGCAAGTGTTTTTGAAGGATCGGATCCCGACATGGTTAGCTGTAGGAGGATATGTCGCCATAGCTGCAGTTGCCACGACTACCCTCCCTCAAATCTTCGAACAACTAGAATGGTATTATGTGCTTGTGATTTATGTCTTCGCGCCTGCATTAGCATTTTGTAATGCGTACGGGTGCGGGCTCACAGACTGGTCATTGGCTTCAACGTACGGGAAGTTAGCTATTTTTGTTATTGGGGCGTGGGCTGGGAAGTCGCAAGGTGGTGTCTTGGCTGGACTAGCTGCATGTGGTGTGATGATGAATATTGTTTCAACAGCTTCTGACCTAATGCAGGATTTCAAGACTGGTTACATGACCCTGGCTTCCCCCCGGTCCATGTTCGTGAGCCAAGTGATTGGAACCGCAATGGGTTGTGTCATTGCACCATGTGTGTTTTGGATCTTCTACCAAGCTTTCCCGGATATGGGGGTTCAAGGGTCCGAATACCCTGCACCATATGCTCTCGTTTATAGAAACCTTGCCATCTTAGGTGTCGAAGGATTTGGCTCGCTCCCCAAACACTGCTTGTCGCTTTGTTACGGTTTTTTTGCGGCGGCGATACTCATAAATGTGGCTCGAGACACTGCTCCCAAGAAGTGGGCACGATTTATTCCGATTCCAATGGCGATAGCCATTCCATTTTACATTCAAAAGCCATTTGCTATCGATATGTGTCTAGGGAGCTTAATACTTTTCATATGGGAGACGAGGAACAAAGAAGAAGCGAAAGCTTTCGGACCAGCAGTGGCTTCTGGTTTGATATGTGGTGAAGGACTCTGGTCCGTGCCTAAATCCATACTGGCTTTGTTCAAGGTGAGCCCTCCTATTTGCATGAAGTTTTTGTCCAAGGGTATGAACGTTAAAGTTGACGATTTTATATCGACGCTAAGTCGTTAGCTTCTTATAAGGCATTATCTTTTCATTGGTCCTGTTTGGTAACGGTTCATATGTATTCTGTTCATTTTAAAAACCATCTTTTGGTTGTTTTGAATATGTTTCTTTCTAGATTTTCTTAGGTATTTGAACGGATGTATGATTATATCAAGTAAGTAATGTAGTTTATATAGGGAAAATTGTACCAAAATATAATGTACTTTTGTCAACTTGTATTTTAAAAATCGTATCTAATTTAGAAATGAATGTTTAAGGGTTTAGGGCGCCAACAGGTCATTAAACATACTATAATTGTTAACACTAATAGAAAACAAGCTTCAATGACACATGAACTATGATACATACTAATTTTATGACATAAAAAATGTATGTCATAAATAAATGTCAACTTTTTTGAATATGAAAGAATTACGACACGCATAACTTTTCACCATACATCCTTGTCATCTTTTATAATATTTACGACATACGAATATGTGTGTCATGTTTTAGTGTCATAATTAAGAAAAAAACACGAAGTACACTTCATCAAATTTGTATGTCATCTTCGAGTGTAGTCCTTTACTTCATTATCCTTTTTTTTTAATTATTCTTTCTCGCTTCAATGAGAATGAAATCTCACCTAGCAAACTAGAGTTTTTTTGGCTCACAAAGTAGGGTTTTCCCCTTTCTTGTTTCTTAATTCCTCCCTAAGACTTGATCTTTCCCTTCCATGTAAAAAACAATTGCTCACAAAAACAAAATCTAAGGTGATTTAGGGTTAGTCCACCACTTCATGGGTTTTAAAAACCTATGGGATTTCATTTGTTGGCTGGCAAGGTGTCCATACTTAGAGCCTAAGTATGTGTCGATCCCTAGTCTTTTCTCTGCCTTATATCTGTTTCAACCTATTTAAGCACAAATCGTATTCAATACTTCACATTGACAAGAGGCAGTGAGAGATCGAGAGGGAGCAGAGGCTTGGTGCCAGATTTCTTGGCTGAAGTTTGACCTCTTTGACTATGGAGTCGAGTTCTTCCAAGTGTAGCAAGTGAGTTCTAGTCCTCTTTGATTAAACCATTGATTTCATGACCTCGTAACCGCAAACTAGTTAACTACCACCATTAAGCCACCACTCCACCACCACCATCGTCGGCAGCCATGGCTGCCACCGTCTACCATCTCATGCCACCATGCTAGGGTGGCAGTGGGTGGTGTCTCATGTGGGTGACCTCTAAGAATTTGATGCTTTGGTTGAAGCCCTAACCCTAAAATTGATGACTTTGACTATTTAACCAACGTACTTTGCCTTTCCCGCTTAGACGTCATACCTTGGGTGGTGAATTACAATACATACACTAAGATTAGAACATAAACATGTAAGTAGAAAGAAACACCTCCTAAACAAGTCAACTACATGCACATTTAATTTTTTTAAACACTCTTTATTTATATATATGTAATACAAAAAATAACTAATTTGGGGCTCTGAAACCGTGACCATGCCCTGGACCATTCGCCCATCTTGTCCCCCTAGCTTTGGATGGAACATCTACCAGTTAGATGTTAAATGCATTTGTACATGCAGAATGGAATGGAGATGTGTTTGTTGAGCAAGAACAACCATGCACAAGGATTTCAACTTTGAAGTAAAGGGTTCAAAGAAAAGTGTACAAAATGAAAACCATTTGCAAATATGGGTTGGTTTTAAATATATTTGTAAAAATAGGTTGTCTTTCATAAGGTCCACAACAAGAAAACCAATGGAAGTTTATTATGTTTCATATTTGACATCAGTGGTTTATAATTTGAGTCCTCTAATTTATACAGATATCTTATTTACATCTTATAATTTTTAAAGTTTCTATTTTGATCTTTAGTACATATGATATGATATATATAATTTGTTTATTAAAAATATATAATGGAAATTTATGTAACATTTAAAACAAATAATAACATTATAAAAAAAATTTCAACACCTTCAAATATATAAATATTGAATATATTGTTGAGAAAAATTGTTAATTTCAAATATCTAAAATCAAATCTATATCTATATCTATATTCTTAATAAAACACTCCTAGATCAGCCACGTGTCAACTTTTAACCACTACCTTCTGCCACGTGTGATCTCACCATCATTCTGCTCTCTCATTTTCCTGCCCAATGATTTCCTTCTTCCATCGACAAATCAATTCCTAAATTTTAGCATTTCAGTTAAATCATCAATTGACTTAGAGACTCATTATTTAGAAATCATTAATATCATTATTATCTAATATTATCTAACATCTAATATCCTTATGCTGCATTCATTCCATTCGAATCCCTATAAAAAAGGACTTATAATCTACAAAAATTAATACTAATATTATCATATAACCAATCATATAATCATCTTATATAAAACGCATATAACTGGAAAAAATAACTCGATACAATTATCCTTTTCTGTTTGACATTTAAATTTAAATTTTGAATAAATTTGAAATTTCGGAATTCTAGGCTAAAGATCATATGTTTCAAATCATCGATTTCTTTATTTCCTTATTCTTGTTTATTCCTTATTTGCAGTTATAAAAACCTTTTCCAAAGTACCTATTTTTCACGTTTGCATTGCAAATAGTTGTTGCGTCTTTGTCTGTTGAGATTTTAATCAAATTTAGTCATGGACATATGTGGAAATATTATAGCGAGAGACTGGTAAAGTATCATGTCTTTATGTAAACCATTATGAATCGTATTCCATATGTTTCAGATATAGGATCGATTACATATGCTATAATATTAATCTGTTCTAATATTCTAAATGCCTTGGGCATTAAGAGGGAAAAGGGACTAGAACGAGATATGACTAAAATGGCTAACCAATTGTCGAGGACAATTTGAGGTTTACCAAAGATTGGTTGCTTATGGACAGTTGGAAGTATATTCTGAATTTTGGAAGGACCATGTTGACATACTCTGAGAAGAGGTAACTCTTGTTCAGAAGTGATAGTCAAAATGGGAATATGTAAATGTTTCCATAAGTGGAATTTATTCTTTAAATCTGTATAAGATTAGAAAACTTAATGCAAGAAGGATGTTCAAAGGAATGTACTTTGAATGTGAGACTTCGTTTCATGGATTTGCTTTCCATTGGAATACTTTGAAATGTATGTTGCCAAGTCTCTGTGACTGTGTATAGTCATTACAAGAGGATCATTGCATATAAGTTTAGAATCTAACAGATTATAGCAAATGGCAAGAATTCGGTATTCTTACATTTACGATAAGGATTTGGAATTGTGAAATGAGTGTGCATGCTTGGAGCATGGCATAACTATTGTTTTAATTCAAGTATTAAGTTGATTAGTCGAAACATTATACAATGAATAATGTGTAATCAATATGGTGATTAAATAAAAGGTGTTTTATTTATATTAATAAGTTCTGAGACCATATTAGATTCGATTATTCTTGTGTTTCACTTTGCATGTTTTGACTTCCCGAATAACTAGGTTATTCAAACTATCCACAGTCGATCATACTTTGGAAGTAGGTATTGAGGCAAGACTGTCATGAATCTGAATGTAGATTGTCTAGGTGTTTTAGACATAGCACAAGTTTGCTACAGTGTTCAAGAGTACTCCTGGAATAAGATTCAAGTATTGGATTAAACCCACACTCATCTAAATCACTTCATGGATTTTATCACGATTGATTGTGAGACGATAATATCTTATATTCTTGAAACCAAGACATGTGAGTTGTAGTTTACAAGTCAGTTGCACATTGACATATGTAAACGCACTAGTAACTTGGTGTTATAAAACATATTGTTGTGTGTGATTTGATGAGTAAGTACAAGCAAGCATTTGAGTCGAAATTTATCCATTCATTTTACCCTTATAGGGATAAAAGCGATATATGTGGGCCCCTCAATGATTTAGTGATGACAAACCTAAATGCTTAGCCAATCCTGGACTGATTTGATTTGTTCAATTAGTCAGTCGTCATAAATCGGAAATCGGGAAACAACAAATGGACAGAGAGAATGATTATAATCCATGTCTCATGTCCATACAATATCTAGAGTGGAGGAGTATATGATCCCTTATCTAATGGACGCGTCATTGACTAGGTCAGAGTTCGACAACGGCTTTTAAGAGCTACGATTGTTAGTCGGGTTGTGGAGTCGTACTTGCAATAATAGTTATTAGACTTATCCAAGTGGGAGACTGTTGGATTAGGTGTCTAAGACCATAATTATAATTGGTATGTACTTGACCCGAGGGTAGCATGGTCCATTTGGGTTGCCTTCACCAGAGCAATTTGATAGGATGGACTTTTGAGAAGAGGTTATTTGTGATTTATTAATATATTATAAGTTCTAATATTTTAATATGAAATCATATTATTTAATTATTATTGATCAAGAATTAATTTGGAATTAATTTAGTGATTAAAAGAGACTAATTAAATATACGGGGACTGATTAAGTAAATCAATGATTCTTATAGTGTGGGCCAATGATCCAGGGTTATTTAGGATGGGCTAAACCAATATGATAGTCCATGGAGGTTTAACCCATGGAGCCTAAGTAATATGAAGGGTCATGTGAATTAGGGTTTGCATGGATGTAACCCTAGACTTTGCCACACTATAAAAGGAACCTATAGTCACCAAAATCGGCCCCCATGCATTCTATAAGAGTGATGAACAATTTTGTGTGCTAAGTAGCCTCTCTCTCAAGTCCTCCTCTTGTTCATGGTGTTTGTGAATCATTTTAGGCATCACATTTGAGGTGCTAAGTTATTAAAGGCCAAAACTACAAGCTACAACAAAGAGGTAATTCTATAACTTAATTTTATGTTGTTTATGTCAATTGTATGCTAGTTGTAGGCTTAATGCTTTGGAAACAATATTGCATGTATAGTTAGAGAAAACATAGATCCAAAGCATTTAGGTTATATGTGCACCATAGGATGTTGTAGTATACTAAAACCCAACACTATAGTGTGCCAGAAGTACTATCATG